GCTGCTGCGGGCCGGCCACAGCGGCCCAGAGCTGAGGCAGCGGCTCCTGGAGTTTGTGTACTTGGTCCATCAGGACCAACGCGGGGACAACACGTTGCCCAGAGCCGCAGTTCAGTAGCCACGCTCCAGGACTCGCTCGCCGTCAACGCTGCAGGGCCCAACAGGGCTATTAACGGGGGCACGAAGCCCACCAGTACTGGACGCTTTCTTTCACCGATTCGGGGTTTAATTCCTGTACCTCACCTCTCAGGGGACGCGAGGATGCCAAGGTTACGGAAAGGTCTGCAATTAAAACTGCGCTGAAATAAGGCAGCCTAGAAGAGCACCGCGTCAGCACCTGCAAAAGCAGTTCTCAACTTTAATTCACACACATGCAGAAATACAGACAGACACACAGACACGCACGGTACTTCACATGTTCCCACTTGGCGGAGGGAACAGCAAGTGCTGCAGACAGCGTCAGAAGCAGCATCACGGAGATGTCGCATTTCAGCTCAAGCCCAGGCGACAGCGGTCAGGACACGAGCGAAAGGCACGCCGACGTCCCAGGCTCTTTGATTTCCCCTTGCAAGAAGCCAAACTTGAACCACGGACCCCCAGAGGAGCTTTTCCAAGGATTATCAGGCAGCCCGCTCTCTTCTGCCACCACGTCCGATAAATCCACTTTTCCAAGCTGTATTTCTCCACGAGACGCAAAACCCCAGCAATCGCCGTGACCGCAAAGGCCTTTCTAAAATCACGTCCACAGAAATTTATGATAATACCTTAGTGCGGGCTGTGTCTGCACCCGCTTACCGCCACGGGAACAGGCGAGGCCGCCGCAGCACGGAACGCGTTGTGTCCTTGCGTTCCGACATCCTTCAGCTGTCCCCGACGCTTCCTCACTTGTCTGTCTCCGCTAACAGCCCCCCAGCCGCCACTGCGATACGCGTATGGATTGCCCCTTACCCGGCTCCATTTCAACCACATAAAAAGAAAAAAAAAAACCGTACAGGCTGATCGTTACGCACAGCCATTCACAGAGCCTGACCATCAGCTCAGGTGCTGCTAAAAGGCGCTCTTGAACGATTTTCAATCCATAAGACTTCATGGCACAGGTAAAACTATGTCCTGGCCGCCCGTGTTCGGTCTCAGATAGCGTTACCTCTGCCATCCGCTCCCCAGCCCCAGGGAAAGACCTCCACAATTTACCCCATCAAGCAACACGAAGGTCTGAATGCTGCAGGCCCTCGGGAGTCGGCATCGAGGGGGGCACGGAGGGTTTCTTCGGGGATCTCTGGCGCCAGCAGATCTCGTAGCTCTTCAGGCTGCTCCTCAGAGGAGGTTTTGGTGACTTGGTCTTTGGGTTCTTCCACAGGATCGCATTTCTTCATTCCAGTATTCCAACGCGCACAACTGCGCAACTTTTCAGACGCTTCCCAACTGCCATTTAGCAGAAAATATTACAGCCAAGACACGCTCTCAGCAGAGGACTTCAAGACGCAGCAGACAGCAGCTAGCAAGAACTTCACCCAGAGCAGAGCAGCTCCGCTTAGGTTCCATGACTCTGACACAACTGACCTCCAGGCAGGGGAAGAGCCACCCTTTTACCAGCCTTTCTGGGTAAATGCTGGCACCGGCAACGCCTCCAAACACAAGAAGGGAAAAACCAGGGATTATCTTGCAGCGCGACCATCGGTTCCACGGCATCGAGAGTAAGCGACACCGAAGTTGAGAGCAAGCAACGCGATTTGTTTTTTGAAGACAACGCAGCTCACGCTCCTCCCAGCGCCGTCACAGCGCCCGTTCAGGCCGGATCCCTGATGCTGGAGGCCGCAGCCCCCGCAGCCCGGCGGGGCGCGGAGGAATCCCACCCGGGCCACGTCCGAGAGGAGCTCGCGTCCTCCCTGGAGCACGCGCACCCCGAGGTGAGAGGAGCCGCGAAATCCAGGGGGCCGACCCGCAGCGAGGGCAGCGCCTTGCCGGCCACCGGTGGTATGAACGAACCACGGCCGATTCCCTCGCCTTTCAGCTCGGGAGCCCTGGCGACCGAAGCGTCTTCTTGAGCCAGCGTCCCGGGAAAGGAGTTTACGCAGCCACGGCAAGCCAGCGCGCATCGACTCTACCCAAGTCAAACGCTCCGACCGCGGTACGCGACACCGCGCTGCTACGGCTTCCCGCCGCCACCTGACAACCAGCAAAAATGTTCTTTAAAAAGCATTTTCTGTATAGCAAGGGATGAGAGAGTGCTCTACAGCGACCTGCGTTCAAGAGAATTAGGGACATGGATAAATGCTGCAGACATCAGTAGTTTATTGGTATGTTTAGTCAAAACACATTCAGAATGGAAACTTAAAAGTAAAAATACTTTCCACCTGCAACAATTAAACTAGAATCTACTAGCATATAATGCTTGACACGTTACAGCAATAAAGATGGTAATCCACTGTCTCGTATACCTACTAAAGCCAAGATGGTCAGCCAAGTTTGTTGAAATAGAACCGTAATGACAAAATACTCCCACCATCCACAAATCAGCGCCTACAGTCACGGTCGGTGAATCCCTTCCTTTGCCCTACGCGGGACGTTAACTGTCCAGAGGGTCGAGAACACCTAAGAGTCCACAGTACAGCAGGTGAGCTACCACCATGTAAACTTCTCGGGATGACGGTCCAACGGTCGTTCGTGCCACTTAAACAAGCAGCAAGCCAGAAAGCAGAATGGCTCAGTAGCTCTGTTTAACACTCCGTGTTTGGTTGTTGAGATTATTCCCAGTGCCATCGGCCACACCACCGAATTAGGTGGCAGCGAAACACCACACCACTACAAAAGGGGGGGGGTACGTGGGAAAAGGCTACACCAAACACGCTGGTGGCAAACTGCTAACCGATGCCAGCAACTTGTCCCAGGGCTTCACACCCACGTAGTGGTTTTCTGTGGCGAGCAGTTCAAGTACTACAGATTGCCAGGTAACAGCTGAAAATGCGAGGCCTTCAACGAAAAACTGAAATATGAAAACGGAAACTGGAAGAAATGTGCCCCGGAAAAAAAAAGTGTATGAAAATAGTGCAAGACTTACCATCGAACAGAGAAGACCTCGAGCCTGGGAGGACACAGACCGATGCCGCTTCGCTTTGCCTAACGCATCAGAAAAATATGTGCAAAATCTTCTGACTTACTCAAAACCAGCACACGACTGCGTAATCCACAGACAGACTGCTAGGGTGCCCTATCTGCTTTTGCTTGATATCGCCATCGTTTTATTGGAGGTCTTCCACGCTTAGAGCAGCTTGAAGCGGCCACGCTTTCGCACAGACGCACACACACGCACCCCCCCCCGACTCCTGACGCCTCGGAGGCGGGCGCTGGCCGCACGCCCCGGCATCGAGCCGCACGGTACGGTCTGCTGCAGCCGCGGTTTACGGGAACGCGCTCCAGAACGTCATCCAGAAAGAGACCCCTCCACCGGGAAAACCCACCGGTCAGACCGAAGAAGAGGACGTCTCCTTTCTGTCCTTCAGTCCGGAGCCACGTAAGCGTCAACTTCAGCTGAGAGTTATGTGCAAAATGAGTAAGAGTTTTTTAAAAAGCGCAACTGGAAAATGCAAATACTTAACGAGCTGCTGTTTTGTTCTCTGAAAATTGCAGTATCCTCGTTCGGTAAGCTCGCCCTCGCAAAGGATGCTCACTTCTACCGATTATGAGCTGGCCAAAAGCGTTCCCCGTTCTTGACTGACTTCCGAAATTCACGCCCGAGAGAGATTTCAACTCCGTTTTCTCTAACTTGGACATCGATTAAAGAGAAGAGACAACCTGGAGACTACTCGGATGCCTGCTTCCTCCCTTCCCCCCCTCTGCAAACCAACAGGCGAACTTGATAATTCAAGAGCAAGGTGGATGATAATTTTAGCAACGTTTACTGATTGAAAGATACTGCAATTTTTTTTAATACAATTTTTCAATGATTTCCTTTAAATGCTTTGCAGCCGATTGGCTTTGCAGCACAGTAATTCATACACGATACTGTACAAAATCACCAGCGAGACTGGAATGATGTATTCATAGAAGGCACCATCATGCTTATTACATTACCAGAGAACTCAAATACAGTCAAGACAAATTCCACTGTACAATGCTTATCGAAGGGGAAAGGGGAAGGAGGAGTGTGTTGAGCAGCCATCCCTGTACTGAAGAGGGGCAGATAGAAAAATCTGACGTGAGCTATCAAACTTGTCGCGTACTCAGGGCTACGACTTTGAAACTCTGGGTTCTGTTTACTTTACAGCTAAATGGATTCCTTCTGGAATAACCTCGCAGTCTTATTAAGGGTTGTGTGTGTACATATGTTGGTCACAGCAAGCAGATCAGATGCCCGCATCGTTTCACAAGCTATTCTGTCTGAGTAAGAGGATGAAGGTTTTTTTTTTCCCTCCGATGCCTCCTGCAGATGTCAATATAAATGAGTTCAGAGTACCCATTAGTGCATTTTGATGAGCGCGTAAACACGAGTTTGTTTGGAGCCGAGTGTTCTAAGAAGGAAAAAAAAAAAAAGGCAAGCTTCTCCAATTGCACAAATTGCACTATTTGTGTTTTCAACAGTAATAGGCAGAAACAGTAACACGTACACAAAATGTGCAGCAGAGGGTTTTTGACTGCAAGGACCTGAATTCTATTGGGCATGTCCTTTAGTTCACTTGTGTTGCAGATAGTTAACCGGTCTTTTTTTTCTTTTTTTTTTTTTTTTTTTTTTTTTTCAGTCCTCAATTCTCCAAGTCTACATTTATAAATTAACAGTGTGACTCCTGTTGTGAAACTGGGGAAAGAACGTCCACCTCAATTTAAACTGGAAACCAAAGGATGCTTTCACATCAAAGAAATGATCAGAAGGGCTGTGTCACATTCCAAAGCCAAAAAAAATTAACAAGAATGCAAACACGATGGATAATGTACCACTGCCAAGACTGTCTGCCCACAGTGGAGATTTCAGCGACGCTGTCCAGTGAAACGGCCTTCCATTTGCCCGGTTCCTCGTCCAGAGCCCAGTTTTTGTGCCAAGCCGCCTCTCGGAGGGGGTCCTCTTCCGTCACGGTCTCGCATCATGCCACTACCCACTATTCCACGGGGACCCCCAGGGCCTCTATCATTGCGACGAATATCCCTACGATCATCTCCTCCGCCTCGGGTCTCTCTTTCACGAGCGGCTCTTGTTTTTTTCTCTTCTACGTTCAAGCGCACCTCACCCCGGAACATAATAGGCTTATAGGGAAAAGCGTTCAAGGCACACGTTAGTCACCGTTTCACAAAGTCCGCTGATACAAGGCACGTGAAAACACTGCGCTCGCTGCGTGCCGCAGCCTACCTTCAACCGCACGCCAAAGACAAAAATGAACTGTTAACGGTTCCCTGCAGCGCACGGCCTTAGCCCTAGAGGTCTGCGGTAAATGGAACAGCATTTTTAAATTCATTTGGCATGCAAGGAATTAAAATGTCTTTCTCAACTAAAAGCAGGGCTGTCTTTAGCCTCTTTGCTGCTGGCTTTAGCCTTTTCACTTCAGGGCTAAAGTTCCTGAAGAATTGCTCTACCACGTATCGCTCCCACATACTAGGAACGAAAACTGCTGCTTTCTACCCTTAAATTCCTCCGGTCGCACCCGCAAATAACCTTGCCCGTTTTCCTCAGCCCCAGAACTCAGAGATCCGTGCGATGCCCTTCGAAAGGTTACATACTCGACTTTCAGCTTAAAAGGATCTCAAAGTAAGCACTGAGCTCCACGTGGTGTCTACGTACAGAGGTAAAAAACCTGCATCTGGTATGACGCGGTTTGAGGAACGCTGGCACAGCTTTGGTAAGCTACAGAACGCTCCTGGCAGAACGAGCGTGCCAAAACCATGTCTTTCTTGCAGCTGTTGTTTATGAACGAATGCTACAAACAACAGCAACGCGAAGTGGGATGGCCCACACCGCTTGGGGTTTAAGGCACTCAGTCCACCCTCTGAAGGCTACTCGATGCCAATACTTACTTTTGCAACCAAAATTCGCTGGACCGGCTCAGAATCGTCAAATACCACGAAACCAAAATTAGGCAGTTTTCCTCCCACTCCTTTAGTATTTATGCGAAGTTCTACCACGTTTCCAAAGCCTGGGAAAACACAAGGGAAAAGCCACATTATCAACAATCACAGTGCCGGCTCTACCACCCCTCCGCTTGTTGCAGACACCACCTCTAGCGTCACATCACGTAAAAGTTCCCCTGCGTTGTCCCAAGTGGACATTACTGACTTTTCAACAGTTTTTCTTCTTAGTCTCCGCGGCTGAAATTGCTACTTACTCATGAAGAACTCTTTCAGTTCGCTCTCATCGATATCATGCGGCAAGTTCCCAACAAAGAGCTGGTGGCTGTCCGGATAGCGAATTATTCGACGGTTATCCGACTCGTTCTGTTCCATGTCTCCTCTCCCTGTCATCAACAGAAAGAAGAAGGTAGAGCCACTGAGGTTAGAAGGTGTGTGCGGATTCGGATAAACACGTCTACGAACAGCACCAAGCGCGTTCACTCAAACAATTCTGTACCTTCAGCTCGAGCGGGTGACCCAGCGGGGCGGATACTATCTTCCTCTTTACATAGTCCTGACCATTTTGTGATAATACCCCAAAGTATTTTTTTTTCTTTTTGTCCGGTTTCCCTGGTTAGGTTAAATAAATCCATGCTAACTAAAACATCTGACATACCGGGCAAGTTTGTTTAAGAGGTTCTTCTTGTATCTTAAGTCATTATACGGAGGAGGAGCTCACTACCTATTAAAATGGGGCTTTTTAAAAGATTTGGATTTAAGTCACCTCTTCATCAATTCCTTAACACAACAACCGTATACTTACTTTGGCACTCATATTAAAAACAATGTTTGCCAGTCACCTCTTCTGGCTTTCATCTTCCACCATTTTGTCCCAAAACCAAGCGAGAGTTCCTCATGTTCTCTCCAGCTCAACCCAAGTATGAGTGTGCTCAGCAGCATGCACGAGAAAATCTTAGCCGGCATCCCCCCCCTAAACCACGACCTGCCTGGCAGTGTGACAGCAGCACACTCTTAGCCCTTTGCACCCCAAGTATTACAGCGTAGGTGTACGTACCCCTTTCTCCCCTACAAGCCCCTTTACAGCAAGCTTGCTGACTCGCTTGAAAGCTTTCCTTAAGCAGATAAAACGGCTCGCTGACTTCCTTTGAAAATAAGACCGTCGGGCTGAAGCTCTACCGTTTGGTCAACTGAGATTTCAGTTTTTTCTCCCCTGCCTCTGCTACCCCCCAGCGTAAGATCAGAATTAAGAGACTCGGCTCTGTTACACGTTTTCTGCGTGACTTGTATTACATCCAAGAGTAGAAGAAACGCAGATTTGCAACTTGATTTAGCCCCAAGTTGCAGCTTTTGCTCCCTGCTGCAGATGACATGTTAAAAACCCAAGAAATGTTAACCTATAACAGATGTCACGGTTCTTTCTCGGCGCTTTAAATCCTTTCGGTTTCAGTGTTGTCCCCGAGCGAAGATAAACCGGCCTTGATCAAACCCAAAAGCGCTTCTAAGCCCAATCCGTACCCCAGTTTGGTACGCACTTACGGAAAACCTTCACTAGAACCAATTTCAGCTAGCGTCGGAGGAGACGCTTACGGTCGCTGAGACTTAACCGCGTCGGCAGGCAGCGCTCTGCCAGCTCTACGCTACCACTTCAGAATCACGGCGAACACCCCCCCCCCTTAGACCTCCTGACTTTGGGAAGAGGAGGAACCGATCCACGTCCTGTAACTCCGGGCCTGTGACTCGGTAGCGTTTGCTCAGCGCCGCGCAGAGGTCTGCCAAGCAGCCAGGCTGGACTGACGAAGGCAACTCAGGCGGCTTTCGCCTCTCAACACCGTTTCGGATGACTGTCACGTAACGTGCTTGTTTTCCAGCCAGACCATCCTACAGATTTGGATACTCTGGAGGAGTAAGAAAACGCAGAGAGCTGGCTGCTCATAAACTAAGACAAACGTGAGGCAGCCAAACTGAGAACGGTATTTTAGACAATTACACAAGATGGAAAAATAGGCATAAAATTATGAACCGACCGAGGCTGACATGGGGGGAAGGTTTTCCTCCAAAACAAAGAGCAACAACAGGTATTTAAGAGCTCTCGCTTCCAAGGTTCAGCAAAATTAGAGGACGTGGAAAAAACCATCAGATTTCCATACCAGCTTTTTTGCATCAAGCCACCTAAAAAGTATTCGAGCATAGAAGCGAGTGGCCTGACTATTAAAAAACATTTCAACAAAACAGAAGCTTGGAAATAAGGCCCGATCTTTGCAACAGCTCATCACACCAGCTTGGACTCCACATCATATTCCCCCATTTCTACTCGAAGGCAGTAGGAACGGAGAGTTCCTTCTCAGGCAAACACAATACAGGTACAGAGAAGGCCCGTCAAGGAGACGCCTCTCGTTAACTAGGCCAAAGCAGACACACAAGCTGATCCACGTTACCTGGTCGAGGTCCTCGGGGTGGGAAACCCGGTCTTTCCCTGGGACGCTGTTCACGTACACGAGGAGGCTGAGACTGAGCTTCGGGTTTAGTTTCAACTCTCGGCTAAAACAGGAGGAGAACATGCGCTATTAAACACCGCCCCAGTAAAAAAAAAAACCCAAACCCCAAAACTCACCAAAACAAAAAAAACCCACAACACAAGACGTAGATAAGTGGCATGCACAAAACGAACTCCAGAAGATATACGTCCATGTCAATGTGTTTGGGAATACGTTTTTTCACCTCTATAAATTCCTCTGTACCAATCCAGGACTGCAGTGTTCAGTTATCTCTGCTAAAAGGTGCAAAGCAAGCATCTCTCAATCAGAGCGTCTCCCCAAAACACGGCTAAGGTGAATTTTCATGTCTGACCAGGCATCGAGACCCCAACGCTCCGTTACTCAACAATCCCTCAACCTGACTAAAAACCCCGCGTAGATCAAATAAAGCTTCCTCATGCCAAGCTCAGACTTTGCGGATTGGGAGGGAGTCCGAGATGAACACGAAGAGATGGGCAAATCACGTTTTCTGTCTGAGTCCCTGCGGGATTCTTTTCCTCGAGTGCTGAACAACTGTAAGGAAACTACCAAAAAGAAAGAGGAGAACAAAACAAAAGCCCTCAGAAGCGTTATAAGTATTTCTGATACAACAAAGCTAGCTGAAATGACAATTTCTACAGACTACCTGCTGAAGATATTCTTCAACTTCCCTGATGTCAAAACCAGGATGCTCAAAGTAAACCCTTCATGTTCTCGGGAACTAGAACACCTATTCCACTTTTTGCAAGCAAAAAATGCTTTTAAAGATAATTTGAGAAGAAGAGACAGAAAAATAAAGAATATTTCTATGCAGCCCGCTGGCTACTGAAGCAATTTCCAACATTTTTTAAATTCCATTTTCGGTACAACAGTCCAGCAGCTGCTGCTGTGCTGGGTTCTTATCTTGGAAAAACAAAATTATCCTTAGGAGCCTAAAGAAGAACGCTAGCTTCCGAGGAAGACTAAACACAAGGACAATGGCTATAGGCCCAGACTGCTGCGGAGAAGTCATTTATGTTAAACACCTCCCTTATTTTCCTTTGAGGACTCAAGACAACCGATGGTTCCACCCAGAGCATAGCCCACAGGGGTAAAAAGACCGTATTTTACACGAAGCACGCAGGTATTACGCACCCAATAAACGTTTCAGCCCTCCTATCACTCGCGCTCTACCTAGCTAGGCATTCGCTTCTCCTTCCGACGTTCCTAGGATCATTTTTTTCAATTCCAATAATAAGCTAGAAAAATCAGCCTTCCTGTTAAACCTCTTTTCATTATACCTCCTCATGGGTCACCGGAGCTCCCCTGCCATCTTCTACTCCCACATCTTTACTGCAATATAAATTATACCTCAAAAGCAAAAAATACATTCAGACTCCCCATTTTTTCGATACTTGCGGCTATCAGGCTTAAACACTCAGTCCTTCCATCAGCCATAGCAAAGACTTGCTCGGTCACCGATGTCTTCCTATTAAATCCCGAGTAAGAGTTAACTTTCACCCCTGTGCATTGCATTTCACTGAGCGTCTCCGCTATCACACAAATACTCTCTGTCTACCCAAACAACAAACAGCTAATCTCATTAGTTGCTTTTTAATCGGTACCATCCCTTTTTACAGAGGAAGACCGCCTCAGTGCTCTCTGGCGCTGCCTGAAGAGGAAAGCACTTGCACAAAACTCTGCTCCCCCAAAACACCGCCGTCATTAGCAGCATCACAAGATGCCTATTAAGGGCTGCCATTTGCAGCCCAAGCAGCAGCTAATTGCAGCTCTCATTTCACAGAGAGCACACACAAAGTGGACTGAAAGGCACAGAATAAGGATTTTGACAGACAACGACTAAAGGAGCGCTCAGCCCCGGAGCCAAATATGCCACAAACCTCAGCCTAAGGGAGCTTTGAGAACAATTCAGGAAAAGGTGCCATTGTCTCTTCTCTTCGGGAGCTCACGTAGGGAGGGAAAGGGACCTCTTTCTGCTGCGGCAATGCTGCTGGCAATGACAGCAAAACCAGCCGCGGGTCAGCCTTTGCTCGCCAACTTTGGAACTGAATATCCCCCCGAGACAGAGGAGGATGGGGCAGAAGGAGCACGGGAAGAGGTGGCTCCAAAGGCTGGTACGATTCTCTTTTCGAAGTCTTACAAAGCTTAAAAGTTCCTCTGGAGCGAGATGCCTGCCTCAATCAAAATGCACGCACGCAAAGAACCAACTAGCCAAGCAAACAAACAAGAAACACCACACTTCACCCGAAACGAAAGAAAAAACCCCACATCATCTCACCTGAATTCCAGTAGCTAGGTTAGACGCACACCTCAGATAGCCACCGCACTGCCTCTGAGGTAAAGGTGGACCACACAACTTACTAAGGGCACGCATCAATCACCTCCGGAAAGGCGCTATAGATTATGGAAGAGTCTGTCTAGAGTCCGAGCAGATTCAAGGCGCTGAGAGAATGCAGCGTCTATAAACAGATCTTTCCCTGAACCCACCGCTTCCGAGCCAGAAGACAAGAGTCAGGGAGCACCCTGCCTGCCTCCGCCCCTCCAGCACCCCTCCGACAGCTGGTGCGTTAATGCAAACGGGAGGCCAGAATATCAGAAAACGCGATAAAGAGAAGGCCTGATTTATCGGTGTAGGCAGGTTGATTTCTAATCGCCCACAAGAAGAAAAAGAGCAAGAAATGCTGACCTGCTTAACTCCACAGCTGTAAATAAAGAGGAACTGAACTGGTTTATATCCAAAAAAGTACATGTGCAGTCCTTCGAGGGGTCCTGAGTAAATACTACAGAGGCTCTATTTTTAGGTTGATAAAAGATGGGGGAAAAAACTGGAGCGATGCAGAGGAAGGAATGAGAAGGACAGGTAACAGCTGCTTTGTAACATCACGGATGCTGGCTAGAACAGCACCCCAAAGGAGCCACCCACCCACGAGTGCGCTCTACTGTCCTCATTTACACGGGCGGTATCCGGCATTAATGGATCCAAGAGAACAGGAAAACGCTGCTGCTGATCTGTAACCCCTCGTAGAAATCGTTCAGGTGCCTCTTCTACCAGCTTTCTGTATACCAAGTCTGAAAAGCGTGCAAGAAAAGGAGCTAAGAACTGACTAATTCTGTCTCCAGAAGAGCTAAGAGTTGAAATTCTTCCCACTTCAGTATCGTTCAGAAACTTCCACTCAGAATTACTTAACCGTCAAGTCACAGCAAAAGTAATCTAAAAGGCAGAAAGGATGACAAGCTGCAGAGGCAACACAAGGGAGTTGAAGGGGACATCTATAAGCTATATTCTGCTCTCTTGTGCAGATAATTTCAAATTATTTTTGCAGTCATATTACAAAAATCCACCCGCTCTACTGCAAATAAATCAAAACCAATTTTGCTTTTGCATAAGGAAAATCTATTCTGCACTAAAAAACCCACAGTTTTTACGGCTCAAATACCAGCTAAACGCTTAAAGCCCCGTTGAAGCTGATAAAGACAGACAGGCTTCCCGACTCATTACATAGCCCCTCTCTGATTTCCACGACAGCCCTGTCAGACCAGAAGCCACACCATACAAGGTGGTGGGCTTTTGTTGGTTTTTTTTCCTGTTTTCTTTTTTAACATGCATTTGGCTGAAGGGCAATCCTAGAGAGGTTCCTCTCCGTCACTAAAAAACGGAGAAGAAACCGGTGCAAAAACAATAGCTGCAATAACCCAGCTGCTCTCCTGAAAATCGCAGACTTTTGAAAAGGTTGGACGTGAGCTACCACGACCTACGGTGCTTTGGTACGCAGCATCAGTAGAAGAGGTTAAAGCACGCCTTTTCTATTTTGAGGATTTTTATAGACATGGAGGCAGCCGGACTGAGTCTCGGACCGTCTCACACCCGCTTGCCACGTGCAGGACACGAGCTATCACCCGGTCAAACTTTCTTTCCTCTTTCCCCTCCTCACCCGGTCAGCCTAGGAATGGGAAGACAGCATTGTCCTGGCAAGGAAATGTGAATCCTTCCATTCCTCACACAGTCATAAGTTGGTACAGGGTTCTGCGACAAGTTAATTATAAACGGATAATGAAATCCAGCGTACTTCTGTAGACGTTAGCCTTACAAGGCAATCTTGCACCTTCTCAGAAACGGTGCTATCCCTTTCTACCGCTGGGGCACTTCTGCCAATGAAATACCCCTTTCAAACACGCTTTAGAACACCACCGTTTTGTGGGGAGTTGTTTTTTTGTTTTGTTTTTTTCCCTTGTAAACCAAACCATATCCCATTAAGACAGGTCAAAAAAATTTCAGTAGTGATTTCCTGTTTCCACACGAACAGATTTTAACATCACCGTCACCCAAAGTTACACCTGTTACGCGTACGTGCCTTTGCTTGCGACAAGAACGTGAGCGCATTAACATTTAAGACACAATTAATTTGTGCAATTTAAGTCAAACAAATCGATCTGTTAATTTAAAAAACTGAAGCAGTTTGCAGAAGTAATGAGACAATCCAAGGTGTTCACAGATGGGTTACCTGTGAGACTGGTGCTTTAACATGGGGTGGAATTCCAGAGGAAGAAACAGTACCACTAGGAGGCAGGTTTTTACTGGTCACTGAAGCCCAAGAGAAAGCCTGCAGGAAATGCAACAAACCTAGGCTACTAATCATGGCAAACCACTGACATTCCTACAGGGAAACTCGTCTGCTGAAAATACACTTTCGGTTCATAGCTGGCTATTAAATAATTGTTGTGCAAGCATTACAACGAAGATGCAGAAGGATTTGCAGTTCTAGCTGCCCGTGGACTCCCACGGTGTGGAGCAAGGCTGTACCGTGCCCACTGTCTCCACTTGAGTGAGCCCGGTTCCCTCAGCATCCCCAGATCACTGCTTTCCGTGATGTAACCAAACCTAGGACTCAAAACCCTGTAGTGTTAAGTGTCTTCTGCACAAAGAAAGAAAGCGGATGCCAGAAGTCAGAAGTAAAAATGGAAAAGAAAAAAGGGATTGGAAAAAAAAAATATACGGGAGACAGGCTGGAGCTAGAAAATGACCTCTCTCCAGCTTTCACCAGGTCCTCCCATCTTTTTCAAACTACCTGAGTGTAACCATACCGGATGACGCACGGCGTGCACGGTGGTTTTTAAGATCAGGCATCCTGCCTCTAAGGGAGACAGTCAATGCCCCCATGTTGATTTTGAACCTATACTGCCAGCCATGTTGCAAGTGTTAATGCGTTACGGTTTTTTTTTTTCAAGGAAGAGCAGTGGTTCCCACTGTATGAGATATTTGTTGGTGGTGGCTTGAGGCGTTTTCTTAACATTATCTTAACTCCACATTTAAAAAGGTCTACACATGCATGAAACCGCACGCACGCACTTTACAAGCAGAGTGTTAAATTTACGATAGGTGACTTGAGCAGCGCTTTAAAATAACATTCTTTCCTTTTTTAGTGAAACTTTGCACGTTTACAAGTTCAAGGTTCAAGTCTAGCTGTTCATACAGCATGACACTGAAAAGAGGTACCAGTTCGGCCACTCAAAAAGGCTAAGTCCGAAACCAAATCTTCTGCTTTACCATGTGCACCTAGAAGCACAGATATGACTTTTAACTAACCTTTGGTGGTTCTTGTGGTAGTGAGACAGGTTCTACAGGAGGCGGAGATGGAGACTTCTCTTCTAGCTCCTCAAGAGTCTTTTCTTCTACTTCAGCTTTCAGCTCCTCGGCTTTCGTTTCAGATTCCAGTTCCGGCTCAGGTTCATGAGACGATTCTTCTAGCGCCTCCTCTATCCCATTGCTACAACAACCAAATGCATTTTATGCAGCTTATCGATTGCTTTGTATTTTATGACTGTTTATAAGCTACGCTACGGTAACGGCGGGTATTAAAAGGATCATTGCGTTCCCAGTTGCTACCATACGGTACCTGCGTGTACAATACTGTGAGAAGTTAAGCTGTACCCCTGTAGTTGTGTACAAAGCCAGATTTCACTCCGGCCGAAGCAAAGACATGCTTTACAATTCTCTGCGGAGAATCTGAAAATCACAGACACGTAAACCCTTTAAGGAATAGGTGGTAAACTCAAGAACTGCTGCTCCTAAAAGAATAGAAGCACAGTGAGAGACCAGTGGAAGATGACGCTATACACATAAATGAAGCCAATTTTGGAATGAAACCTGCAGCTTATTTACAAAAATGCCATACAAGTTCCTTACCGAAGGAGTCCCGAGTCTTGTTTACCAAAAATCACACGCAAGTTGTTCTCTACTCTGTGTGCTCAAAATGTAAGGGATGTGAAGTTCTTCCCTTCTCTCTTCAGCCACCTCAAAAGCTTACCAAATTCCAAATACTTCTGCCTATGAAGCGACCACAGGTTTGCATACGCCTAAAGTGACTATCTGATGAATGTTGCCTTTACCGCTTCTTTCCAATTGGCACAGTAACCCAAAACCAAGACCTGACTTAACGCTTTTAGGCATCAAAAACTTCCTGCATTATCTTGAGCAAGTCAGTGCCAGAATTCCAGCAGACTCCCCTCTTCCGTGAGATTTCTCATGAAAAGCATTATGGGACCAGCACTTAGCGTTATCACTGATGCACTCAACAGCCATCATCTAGCGATGTCGTAGAAGTCTTTTTTTTACCACGGAAACCAGGAAGTCAGGTCTGGCCCCTTCAAAGGCATTCCTATGTTTCAAAAAAAGCAAGGGCTTTGGTGGTGTTTGCTTTTTTGTGTTTGTGGGGGTTCTTGATTGTTTGTTGGTTGGTTTTAATAAAACGTATTTTTCCTATAAAAACATAAATAAACTTTTTTCTTTCATCTTCTTAGGATTTTAAGACGCTCGGGACAGAGACCTATTCTTCCAATGCAGCTGTACAGCAGCTTCTCAAAAAGCTGACCTTCCTCTCGCTTTCAAGCGCTACCCAAATCCGAGGAGTAACATAGCATTAACCACCCCTTTGTCAACCCACCTGTTCACATAAATTACATGATATCAACTCACTGTTGTAAGTTTACATAACAAAGGCTCCATTAACTGTGTACATAAACACGGTTGTTACCTTTTCACCTCCCATTTGAAACCAGAAGTGAAAATAACTAACAAACCTAACAACATCCCCTACTTCCTCTCTCCATTCAAGAAGCAATGTTTCAAAATAATATTACCTTAACCTAACACAGATATGTATCAAGTTAAGTGTAGTTTCCTAAACTACCCGCTAAATCACATCCCGAATCCAAAGCCAAAGCAATTCTCTCTTTTTTATTAAAAAAGCAATTTCATATAATAAAACGGACTTCTTACGTTACAGGATGGCTTTCGTAGTAAGTACTGCTTGCGTTCTCTTGCACAGGTTCAGGTGATGGTTGTCTTTCCTCCTGCTCCTCTTCCACCTCTTCCTCAGACTCTGACACAAAAAAGAAAAACTTCCTTAAACATCTCTGCGAGCGTACCCAAGCCGCACTTAAAATAAAAGCGTATTAAACTAGCGGTAATCAAAATAAAGCTGCATCAACAAAATAAGGCAAAATTAGCTGCAAGAAAAGATAGGACACCCTTCCACTCGTTCAAGAAGCTTGGTTTCTTACTATTTTCACAAAAAGGAGAAACCAGAGACATATTGCTGCTAGGAAGCTCTGGCAGGGGGGGTCGAGGGTCTTTTAAAGCAGCAGATGCTTTTCATATGGTGGCAGTAAAAGAGGAAGGTTGCGCTATTAGCTCATAAATCTAAAACTAAGAAGATTAACCTCACATACAAGGATGATTGCCTAAGATGCTTTGTTCCACAGAACCGAGATAAAAAAATTCCAGACGTTATCCAGTGACCCCATGTACATACATTCTGGCGGTACTGTGATTTGCTTTGCCTCAGTGAACAGAGGGGGGAAAAAAACCCGGCCAGGCCAAGTTCGGCCCCTGAACAGAAATGGATTACTGAATGTGACGATGGTATGTAAGTGTACTACATGTCATATTTGAAAAGCCAATTAGATTTCTTCTTCTAATCACTTTACCTAAAAATTCACCCGATCAGAGAAATCAAGTCTACCCGATGAAACGAGTGGCAGCAAAAGGACTATTGCGCACTATTTCCATCCTCTGCCAAGCCTCACCCACCCTGAGCCAGTTCAGCCCTTCAAGGAACAAGGTGCTACTATATGACCCTCATTTTACAGAATGCTGTGGACCAGCAGAGCGTTCCAACAACATAACCTATTCTCCCCGCCTCAGCCCCCTCCCAAATCACTATGCTCCACGAGAATGCAATACGGTTTGCATCTTTCCGTCTCCTCTAGACACTTCTGAAAGCTCTGCATCCACGCTAGAGGAACCAGAACAAGACAAACTCTACATGTACAATTCTTCTCACCTTCATCGAGTTCTCCTTCTGAATCCCCAAATACTTCATCTTCATATCTGAAGATATCGTTATGGACATAGAACTTGTTTGGAACAGAACCCTGTAAAAGAGCAACACGCACTTTTTTGCATGAACAGTATATTAGCAGTCAACAGCAAGGATGGATTAGAGATATAAGCTTTGGGGCACACACCGACATTTTGGAATAGGACCGTTTCACTAACGCCACTTCCCAAGTGGTATCTCTTCTCTAAGCAAACGATTGAACGCTAACTTCCGCCCAACTGAAAAAGGAAGTTTCAAGCAGGAAAAAACCCAATTGAGCTAACTCACGACAATCACAGGTTCTAAGTAAACATAAAGTCCCTCACTTTCGTCAAGGAAGTAGAATTTTCCCTATTGCAAAAGCTTTACAATAAAAAACCAAAACAAAGTTTCACAGGGTGACCGCACGCTTATAGCATTGCGTAGGGAAACAACGAAGAAATTCAACAAGACTCTGAAACGTGGATCACCAACCACACAACACTTTGTGACGAAGAAAGAACACAAGACACCCTTCACCCCTACACAGCTCTGCTCTCGCTAAGAGCTAAACTTGAGCGGTAACTTGCGCAGCATCAACCCATACTCGTATTTGCCAGCAGACTTGAAGAAAGTAGAGAACTACGCTAGAGACTTGATCTGCAGAGCCGAAAGTTATTTTTTTTTATTTCTTTCTGCCAATGGCAGCTCCCAAACGCAAGCTCCAATTTACTTTGAATCACTGCTCCAATACTTCAAGTCCAAGGAAATAAAACCGCTCGGGACGAGTCCAGTACACTCGTTTCTCTGCACTCACATACCGTGACGCATTTAACGTCAGCCTCCGGGCCAAGCTCTAAAAGCCAGATCATATTTTTTTCCCCAATACGACAAATTGTAGCTACAGGTCAGCTTTCCATCATCCTTATTTGAGGTTAAACACAATCTTACACATACTTACTTCTGGAGCAAGCACAAAAGTCTGCATGAACTTCCTCATCGGCTGCCCGTTGTTCGACAGCTCTCCCATTACTTGCACAACCACCCCATCACTCAGAGTAGCGTGAGCATCCACGTGACGAATCTTGGTGTGGCATTCGCTGAACTGTAATGACATCACTTTCTTGTGTATCTCCTAGAAATAGAGAGTTACATTTTAGCTACACTGAGTTTTGCACAGAGCTTTACGCCTTTTAAATACCCGAGTCTGAACTAACACAAAAAAGCACCCCACCGAAGCTCAAAGGGTAAATACAGGAACCAAGAAGTGTCTTTCACTGAGAATAGTGTACCCGAGCTCATCTAACTTCTAAACTGAACTTTTCCACCAGGATTCAAGCACTACTTCTCAGAGCAGTCAAAAAGCGTACAACTTGCTATCCGATTTTTCCAGGTGTATTACAACATATGACCTATTTTAAGGCTTTCGTTTTTAAAAGGCCTGTGAGAGGGACAGGCTTTACCTTGTGTTTAAAAAAAAAACCCAAACAAAACCACCCCCCAAACAAAAAACCCCAACCCTCTACTCATCCACAAAGTACCCAAATGTCACTTTTTCGTGCTGCCTAATCAGGTTCTGCCGGTGAAAGAAGACAGCAAACCTGCCCTGGGCTAAAAGCCACAATGCTCAAAGACGTGGCTACCACCGAACAGACGCCCCTAGGTGACAGACATTATTCCGATAAAGAGCTACAACCAAAGCAAAAACTCGTATCTTCTGGACTTATTTCACTTCTTCAAAAGTTATCTTCCTCTTTTAGAAAACTCCACTCACAGAAGAATGTGCTAACATCCAGAATTCCACGTAACGTGCAAAGATCAAAGTGCCCTTCCCAAAGAACCGTTTCTAACTGAAATAAGATACATCAATAGCACAAGTCTAACAGGTCCTCTTGATCTTGTTTCCCATCCTAAATATATTTTCTGCACTCCAGATGCAAAGGTGATGAATCAAACACAGGCCACAGTAAAAGCAGCAACAGTCAAACAAAAAAACTGAAGCCAACAAATTCCTATCTGCCTCTGAACAGGAGGCGGTATCACAATACGTTATTGAGCACATAAGAAAGTCGAAGTAGTTGGTAAAGGAACAGATTGACTTATACAAGTAAGTTCTGAACGTTAATGAGGACTACCGGACTGATTTCGATACGCACAGCTTGACCGTACACTGCTTCTTGCGGTTTCCCACTGGCATCCAGTCCTCCATGGACGTAAGAAGAATTCCTGCCATAAAACCTGCAAGCGAAGAGATGTAAAGGTCACAGCAGTGAAAAAATAGAACCAACTCCAACAAGTATTTTAGCCGCAAGTTGCAGAGCTCAACGCATCGGGAATTTCACCAGAAACAGCAATTCAAGATGCATTTTCCACTTCCGAGGCTCCAAGAAAACAGGAACAAACAAACCTAATATTCAGTATTCCAGTTTGCCCAATATACGTAGCAAGCTCCTACATCAACCTCAACCTTTCACTTGCTTCCTTTAAGCAAGGTGAGCATTTTGGCTCGAAGGTTCCCCAACGTCAAAATCGTCTGCCGGTGTTAAAGCCGCGCTAGCCAGCCAAGGCATTAGCCTGGGGAGGAACAACCCGCCTGCCTCTCCTCTGAGCCCCCGTTCTCCTCAAAGCTTCGGGCAGCAGTGAGGGATTCTGCCCTGGATTCAGACCGTACAGACAACGTGGCTGACCAGCCAACCCGCCTCCCCATCTATCCTGTCTCTCTGCTATCTGTGGCTGTTACTTCACGCTTCAGCTTTCTCAGAAGCGATGGCCAAAGAGCTCATTACAAACCTCCAAAGTATTAGAAAAGACCAGACTTCTCTAGGCACCGCAGCTGAACACGAAGCCCCCAGAAGAAATGCTGTCTGAAATCAAGTGTACAAAACCAGCAAATGAAAGAAGGCCCAACGAAAGTGCATCTTACTGCTGCCACACCACGGGATGAATTCAGTACTAGACGCAGCCCAAAAGCCGTGTTCTCTCTCTGCTTCCTTACACTCAGGCAGTGAACAGTATTTCATTTGCATTAGTTGCATCATGGGGTACAATAACTGAATCACCACTTATAGCAGCCTCCACTGTATAACTTTTGACACAAAACTTACATTCCACAAGTAGCAGTTGTTGTTGTGGTCTCGTAAATAGCACAAACCTCTGGACCACTCCAAGAAAAACAAACCCAGCTTCTGGATTGGACTGCAAAAGCTCGTATTTTTTATATGTAATATACACGCACTTGCTGAAGAAAATATTTTTCTTACGTTTCAGCGATATTTGTGCACTTTCATCCGACTTCCAAATTTTGAGCCTGGAACAGTCTAAGTTTTGGACTTTTACTGCCAGCTTATAAAGCATGTGACAAATGCTAAACATTTTCTGTACATTTAAATGAACAGATCAGACAAAACCATCGTATCGCACCTTTTTTTATTTAGAAGCATGCTCTGCCTCGGGAGTGATTGCCACGAGGTCTGAATGCTAACGCTTGCTCTACTTCTACAAGATACCATTATTATCCACCCTCGTACTGTATATATGAAATAAAATTTTCATTAACTACTTCTATAATTCCATTGTCACACAGATTCGCAAGGATACGGAACACTTCTCTCTAGTGAAACAAGCCAATGCAGAGGGTCAGTGTTAAGATACAGAATTAAACACTAAAACTTCCACATTTCCCATTTCTTGGTTAATCCTACTAAACCCAGAAACTCTTTCCAGTTCTACTTTCCTGAAAACACCAACCCAAGATTTTACCTCCCGTGACTATGCCCAGAAAGAAGTCCGGGAAATATGAGATTGTTTTCTTTGGTTCCGACTGCACAATCGTGTTTCTGAGCATGGTCCAGCAGTTCCTAGCAGCGAGGAAGAAGAGAAGTTCAGCTGCAGCAGTGCGCCAGCAGAAAGGAAAGCATCTTTTCACTCTCTGAATTCCAAAGTGAGCCCTCTGACCGTCAGCGTATCTTACTAGGTGCTTTCACAGGGGGACCAAGAGTTTTACCTTGCTTTTAAGGAACTGTTCAAACTCTTTGGTAGGCAGAGAAGCTAACAAGTGGGAACCGCCGATCAGGAAAGGAGAAAATGTTATGTCCCCAGTTACATGGAACTATAGATGTTCAGCTAAGGGGCCAGTAAAGCCATATAAATTCACCCAAAGTGCAACAGGCATGCAAACTACACTGAGTAACACCCAGTTAGAGGGCAAACTGATCTCTGCTTACCCGTAACCCCTGGATAAGCTTTGGATAACGACTAGCGACAGGGTACTCGGTGCTCTTCTCAAGCCGTTAGCAGGATAAACCAGTAACTTGAACACCTGCTGTCCAAACTCCCTTACCGCTGCAAGAAGGAGCGCATCAAGCATCAGGAAGCGGTAAAAACCAAAACCTTTATGTGGCAGTGAGCCAGCTGTTGTTCAGACTAACAGCAAGAGAAAGAGGGAAGATAAGATGCCCGCTCAGAAGAGCATCGCTCATAAACAAGGCGGGGCCAAAGAACAGGAAGGCAAATGTCCTCCATAGTTGAGCCCGACTAGAAAAAGGTAGCCACCTCCGCAGCCCAAAAAAAGGGACAGCACTGGCAGAGACTAAAACTGGCTAGAAGGTATTTCACACAAGCAGCTCCAGAGTCAGCTGTGATGCAACCAAACCAGATCAAAACCTCCAGGACACTTTTGTGCAGAGGTATTTAAGAGAAATTTCACAGATGCTACTGTCAGAGTCGCTTGTGCCACCTTTCACGTGGACAAAGAATATTTGCGAGCACAGAGTATCACCCGCACCAGGGCAGCTTGCCTCGTGAGCGTCTACCCAGCTCCCCCAACCTCAGCAGGGCTATTCCAGGGGGCAGTTAAGTGACCCGTCATCAAGAGCCCCTCCACTTCATAAAAGAAGAAAAATTCTGTAACGTTTTTGGACTAGAGCCCTTGATGAAAGCACAATTCCTGCAAGAAGGTAAACTCTACGGACAATTCCCTGTTCCCACTCAATGTACCATGCATACAGCATAATTTGGAAAGCTGCATTTCAGAGTCGTTCGAGTAAAGCTTGAGATTTAGAGGGCTGGGAGTAATATCCCGTACCTCTTATAAAGCACCAAAGTTGCCTTCAACAGGCTAGATGTCTCCTCAGACGCCACTGTCCCTCACACGTACACTTGTGCCGATTTCCTATCACCCCGATCTGGAAACATCACTCTACATCCCACATGCACCAGGAGCACCAGCTCCATAACGCTCCCGTAGCCCGTGTTAATGTTGATGCAACGGAAGTAATGTTGCTGTACCAAGGGAAAGCAGGAGGGAAGGCAAACCTGGAACAGCTGGCTGCTCTTCTCTGGCTGAAGCAGTTAGGGAGGAAAAGCATACTGACAGTATTTTGCTGCTTAAATCAAAACAGCCCCCAAATCTTGCCAAGGTTACAGTCACTATCATTACAGGTAAATGCTCTAACAAGCAAAATCAAAGACTATTTTCAACACCAAGTTTGAGGCGTGGGCGATTTACCCCAGCACACAGTCCAAGTGCCATTGAAAAGAAATGTTACAAAAGGAAAGGGCAATCTCCCCGTAGAACCGATATAATTCTCCTTCTGCCTTTGGTATTAAGCTGTGAAGCATGCCCTAATCATCCCTTACAAACTCTTTTCTGTCTCTTTGTTTATGCAAACGATTTCTGGGTTTCAGAGCAAAACGACAGCAACACTTCACAAGAAACTTGTCTTACTGACCCGGGCTTTTCTATCATTCAGAAAGGACCCTGCGGTTCCGGTATCACGATTTCCATTGCATCATTTGCTCACAACGTAATTGTTGCCTTGAAAAACTGATACAGTCACACCCTTTCTAAGTCTCTTAAAAGAATTTCAACTGCCTGACCTTTACAGGCAATGGACGGTTACGGATATGGACAAGGTGCTAACTGCTGACAGACCTGCCTACGAGGTGCCTCCGAAGCTGACTCCAAGGCAAGAGGTCCTTTCCGGGCCACCTGGGGAAAACACCCAGGCATGATACATACCTCAAGAACACAGTTCTTGGGTCAGAGAGAGCTCTCAGTTTGTATATCAGGTATCGATGTGCTACATGGACGTACTTGTCCAGCTGTTGATTTGATCTGACTCGTTAGAGTTCAAGGTTTGAGGGCGAGGAAAATTTCTGCAATTGCTAAAAATCCTGCTTTTAACTTCAGTTAGATTACTAAACATAGATCAGGAAAGCCTGGGATACACTGCTCAGACACCTTAAAAATAGATTTAAACTACTTAATTAAAAATGATAGCATGCATTTTCCCTACCTCAAAGCTATACATGAAAAGAGGCATTATTCAAAAGACTGAATTCTCAAGTAAGCCATACGAGAGCTCTACCTTGTGCTCGATCTAACAGTCCAATTTTTCACCATCAAGCTTACGTCAAGTTCTGAGACAAAACCGACTCAAGCAGCGACTGTTTTTTTCCTTTGTTATAGACTGGCAAAGCTACTTTCACCTTTATTTGTTACGAGTCCATGCTGCTCCAAGTCCAAATGTGGAAATGCAAAATCTTAAGTGACAAGCTGTATGTAGCCAAACAAAATCAGAAAAAGAAGGAAGAAAAAAAGGAAAAAAAAAAAAAGAAGGAAGGAACACATTCAGAGCACTGCTTAAATAGTGGAGACAGGTTAAAAAACCCTACTGTATTTTCCACCTACCTTGTCCAGGCCATGACATTTATACTTTAATCTCCAATCATAATCAGGACAAAAACTTCTCAGAGGCAATGCAAAATATGGTATCCTGAAATAATTAGCATGCTTGTCTTAGGTACTAAATGCAAGTGCTTCCTCTGCCATTTTCTTTCCTTTTCTGTCTTTTTAGAAAAGTATTTCTGGAATACGTCCACAGTACCATGTTATCAGCTGAGAAGCAGCTCGCTTTTCCACACGGGAGATACCTTTATAACATGCCATGCATCCAGACGACCAGACTTGGTTCTAGAGCCTAAGGAGTTTTCAGTAAGACGAAACAGTTTTCCAAGAGCCCAGAAGTTAGCCACGTCCATTTCCTCCCATACTCAGAAAGTAATGTTTACACAATTTATAATGAACGCTGCACACTTTCGTTCGAAAACAGCAGTCACTTTGCGCGTGAAAGCGTTACCTGTGCAAGAAGTCAGGAGCTTTATTTAGCAGAGTGTAGTACTGTCTCACGAACTCCCGCCCTACGAGCAGGGGACTTGGCTTCTCCATCACCATTTCTTTGGTACACAGTGTCAAATCCTGTAATTAAAAATAGTCACGTTAGTTTGAAGACAGCCCTATGTATCACAACATCCCCATAAAAGGATGAGCATAGTGATATTAGAATTGAAACAATTATGTTAACGGGAACTTAATTCACACAGAACTACTCCAGCAATTCAAGACACCCTCCCCCACCTCCTTTGAGTAAGTAGAAAGATTTCAGTCAATTCATGTGTTACTTGGACAAAGAGGGAACAGTGGAAACAAAGTCCCTTACAGAACAGGTGCTTTAAATAAAAAAAACCAAACAAAAAACCCAAACAAACAAACAAAAACCCTGTTAACAAAGTGTAGCACCATTTATTTAACCCTTTGGTAATAAACTGATGAACAATTAAAAATCCAAGTTCAACAGCACTGCAAAACAAACAGGAATACACTTTCTGAAGTCATCCGGTAACACTCCTTTATCTCAAAGCACATCTGCTTCAAAAGGCTACCCTCACACCTCTAACACGAAGACGGTAGCACCAATATTCTGAAGTCATTATGTGGGCTGGATTTGCCTTCCCTGAAGACTGCGAAGGGAAACCTTTACAACTCAGAGACGACCAAAGCCTTAGGTACTACTTGTCCAAGCTAACTGCATATCACATTTGTCACGGAATAAGTCAGGTTGGAAAGCACTTCTTGGGTTCACCTGGTTGCACCCCAGGCACAAACCACGACCGGTTTTGAACAGGTGCTCATTAAAAGAAGTTCTGAATATGGTTATTTGCTAACGTGTAGACAGAACTTCGACTTGCAATTTGTGCCTGTCAGCTGCCATTGTAACAGGGCGCACCTTGGAGAAGTATGGATCCACACCCTCGCACCGGGTAGTTGAAGGCAGCAGTAAGGTATCATCCCCCCGCTCCGGTTCTCTGTTCTTCAGGCTGAACAAGCCTAGCCCTCTCACAGTCTCCTCTCTCCGGGTGCTCCAATCCTCTAACAATCCTGGTGATCCTACACCAGACCCATTCCAGCATGTTGGTTTCTTTCCTGTACCAAGGAGTTAAAACTGGGAGCAATACTCTGGGTCTGGGCATCACGGGAGCCCAAATGGAAAGGAAGAACCATTTCTGCTCACTACGCTCCCGCAGCCCAGAATGCAACCGTCCTTCATCACTGCAAAGGTACGCTGCCGACTGGGGTTCAACTTTTCTGCCAGGACACCAAGGCCCGTTCGCGCAAAGCTGCTTCGTATCCAATCGTTTCCCAGCCTTTACTTCTGCATGCAGTTCTTCCATGTGCACACAGAGCTTGGTAATTTGCCTTTGTCAAACTTGGTGATGTTCCTGTCAGCCCATTTCTCCAGCCTATCCCTCCGGAAACTTGCGGCGGATCGCTTTTGCCCATCGTCCCGGTCACAAGAAAGGTGTTAAACAGCGCTAAAGAGCACCAGCCCCAGTTTTGCCCCCAGAGAAACTTTGCAAGCAGCCAGCTACCAGTTGGATTTTGTATCGCTCACCACAACCTTCCGATGCCGGTTGTCCAGCCAGTTTCCCACCCACCTCATAGGCTCTCTCTCCCATTTGGCTCCAAGGATAGTACAGAAAACCAAGGCCTGAATGAAGTCAAGGTAAACCACATCTATTGCACTTCCCTCATCCACTGAGCCATTCGTGTCATCGCAGAAGGCAAGCTAGTTGGCCAGTTATAACTCGCCCTCGGTAAACCCACACCGGCTGTCCCAAACACCTTCTTGTCCTTCATGGATCTGAACGCAACTCCCAGGAGGACTTGCTTTACGAGCCTTCCCAGGGATCAAGGAGAAGCCGGCCAACCTGTAACTCTCCCTGCCTTGAACAGTTCTTAAGTTTCACTTGCTGTGCTCCTACCCATCCATATTGCCTTGCAGATTGTCCATGTCATAAAATGATCTTCAGCACTCTGGAAGTCTTTTTGATGGCTTGCCGGCACCCGACACGTTGCTTTCTGCAGCTCATGTCAGGAAGGCTGAACTCACTCATGAATACCAGCGTCTGCAATCATGAGATTCCCTCCATTTCTCTAAAGAAAGCTTAATCTGTTTTCTCTCAAAAAAACCCCAAATGTGTAGGCAAGGCAGCAGGCAAAGACGACCGAGTCCAAACTCCAAGTTTCCAACTTGGGAGATAGATAATCCTAGAATAAAATTTTTGTTTTCTTACCAAAATAACCTCGACCCGTCAATCCAACCCAAGGGCCAATCCAAAGGACTGTTCGCAATTACAGCTGGACAGGACGTGAAGCACATGGGGTGAAATTGAGAGATTAACCTCAGCTCAAGAAGGGCTGGTAATAAAGGTAAAACGTACACAGGAACGGTGCCACAAACATGTCAGATCCTGCATCAAAAAAGAACTCGGAAGAAAAAAGCCCAAGTACTTAGCTCAAATAGTTTACGCTTAACAAACTGTCCAAATAATCGCAACCCAGCGATCCAAGGCACAAGACTATACCAAGAACTGTTCCCGACTGCAGTTAGCTAGGAATCACACTTCAAACCATGGTCTCAAAAACTTGTAGGCAAGGCAGCAGGCAAAGCCCAAAATGCAAGTTTTGAACGTGGAGATAAGAAACCAGAAAACTTATTTTAGGATTATCCAAAATTTTTATTATAACCTTCTGAGACTCTGAAACATAGTATTACTTGTGACTCATGGGAAGCCGCAGGAGAAGTCATTTTGATAATCAGACCCCAAACCAAATGTCAAGAATACTAAGGGACATCAAAGGCTTGAGCCCTGCGCGTGTTCAAAGCGAGAGCCTCCAAAGAAACAAAATCTGAGCTATTTGGGGATCGTCCTCACATGACTCGTACTACAGCAATGCCACGCACGTGGGAATTTTACTTAGAAACCAACCTTAAAAGACCAAGGACCTCAGTTTCTACAGGTGAGACTATTCTTTTTTTTGCTCCCCTGCCCCAGAAGCTGACGATGAACACAAAATCGTGGTGATACGATCTTCACCGCAAGCACTTGTGGGAATACACAAGGACGGAGCTTCATTGCAATTTTTTTTTTAAGAACCTATTAAAAAGCAGATCATAGCCAGCGCACATTCTTATGAATATAGCAATAAGCGAAGTACGTATGTTAACAAATTGCTGGCATACCACAAGGGACACTGAAAATGCCTCTGGGTACAAAACATAATAATCTGTGACAAGTCATTACGCTACATCAGATCGGTATCACACTAGATCTTTTCTTCATTGGAAGCTGTGCTATTTCAGGAAAGGCCGCCGAAACCTTTCAGAAAATCTGAGAAAGGCAAGTACGCAATGATCACACACTGCCAGTTCTTCCCTAACGACTGGAAACGGAAGTTGGTTTACACGCTCAAAGAGGTGAGCACCGTCCACCTCTGTCCGTATTTCAAGTGACAGCGCTATTGATTTACATCAGAGAATCACAGTATTTTACAGGATGTATCAGCACAATTCTTCACCTGTCTCGGTATTATTTCCTTTCATTATCTTTTCAGAGATCTCAATAAGGGCAGCAGAGGCTTAGCGAACTGTTCAGGGCTCCAAGTCATTAAAAGGCAGTAAAATAAAAACGCAGGTACTCCTTGCTATCAACGTGGGTGCCATGAAACCAGGTTTTAAAAAGATTAAAATCTCCCCGTGTCCCAGTTAGTATAGCGCCTCCTTAAAGTCAAGGACCCGAGACCTAGCAGGCCTGAGGGGTTTGGGGGTAAAGGCACCAGTGAAATTTAAGCCAAAACCCAAGGCACTGGCATCAAGAATTTGAACAGTCCAAACTTACAAAGAACGGTATCTCTGTGTTTTACCAGGCGCTAATGGAAGCCCCATAGATACACATACTCTATAAAAGCTATTTTTCCAGTTTTCATCGGTACATACTCAAGAGTCAAGGAATAACAGCTGAGAAAGAAGGATCTGCCCGCTCTTCTCACTTGCATAAAATAGGCCACATCAGCCTAAGCGGCCGTTGGGAAAGCGTCTTAATGAGAATTTATTGCTCGAGGCACTCATGTACAGACTAGCCAGAAACAAAATACTGAAACTGAGAAGGCAAACACCAGAAATCAAATAAATTTATCTGCTAGCTTCTTTACGGTGCAACCGTATTGTTAACGAACGCCCCTCCATCACGCACTCTGGCAAAAGGCATCAGCTGCACAGACAGGGTAACACGAACACCCATGCAACTGCTGCTCATCCACAGGTAATCCTGCCTCCATTAAGCTGACGTAACGATTAATCGACAAGATTTCATTTCCACCCTATTCAGCACTTCTGACTCCTGTGGTACCAGGAAGGCACCCCGGATTTGCAGTGCATTCTGGAACCCAGGAGAACCGGCAGCCACGCGATCTATTTCGTAATGGACTCGGAGGACTAAAGGTACCATGGAATCTCCTTCTTCTCCAGACAAGGCTCAGAGGTAAGGGACCCAGCGGCACCCACCCGAGGGACCGGACTCCGGAACCGAAGGAACGTGCACACGCACCAGTGCAATACTTCTTGCAACTTCGATTGGCATGACTCAAGTTCAGAACAACTTAGCAACAACTGAAGCCTACAGGCAGGACTGGATAAGCTTGCCACCATTACCTCAAACCACCAAGTTCCTATCTCGAGTTATTTCCATGGTCACTTCTTTCAAGAAAACAAAAACAATGGGAGAGTTAGCACAGAAAGGAATTATTTGTTATTTGCATGCAAAGATAAGCAAATGCACAGAAGCAGAAAGGCTATTTTCCTCCAAAGAGCAACACCAAGTGCGACTGCAGGGTAGTGCTGAAATAAACAGTAACGTTCGTTTAACTTTGCGACAACATCCCAGCTACATTCTGTTAGATTCTGGTACGAGATCATTACAGCCTTTTCTCAGCTCTGCAAAAAACATCTTTCGATGGCCCGGGATAACAAATGCCAGCCGTGATAAACACAGCAAGAAGTTAGCCTTTGCAACGAGATGAAACTGGTAAGGGCTAAAAGGATGAGATATAGCTCACGTCAGGACAATTGT